ACAATTATTGCGGATTTTATGGAACAAGGCTTTGCTTTGACAAGTCATCCATCTTCCATAAGATTGACAATAGTTCCATCTCTTTTATTTTATTTTAGTGTGATTTATAACATTTTTATACACTTTTATATTTTAAGTACTTTGAATTTTTGATGATTACAATTTTAAATTTCTTCTAAGTCTATTACGTGTTTTTAATGGTTTTTTACGTAAATCTTCTTAAGAATTTACTTTAAAATTTAAACAGATTCAATTTACAGTAATAGTTACTCTTCATTAATTCTGCTTTTGAACAATTCAAAATTTATCTAAATAGTTTAATAGAACTAATACGAATCAAGATAATATTGAATATCTAGACCACCTCATAATTAAATGCAACAAAATTAAATTATATGGTAAAAGGAGGACATTCAAGTTTGAAATTATTAAGGTAATTAATTGGAATCCTAATATCTCTAAAAAGGTAACACTTTTTATAGCCAAATAATTAGAATTAAAAATATATGTACTGAAATAGAAGATTTAAAGGAAGAAATAATAAATATAATTAATTCTCAAATTAATAACCAAGTTCTGACACAATTTATTAATTTCTATATTAAAAAGGCAGGAATTAACTTTTCTCTTTAATGTTTTAGCTATTTATGGTATGATAATATTACCGTAAACCTTAACTGGAAGGTAATGGAGGATTTTGAAGAGTTACAGGATTACTTGTAAATATTAATAATTATTTGTAAAAATGCATATTTTATTAATACTGGATTCTTTCCTTTTACTAATGAAGGACGTACTCTTTTCAGATGTCTCAATTATAGCCCGCATTGAGTGAAGATTTTTAGCTAATTTTTCTAATTTTCCTTACCTTTGGCCAGTATTTAGTTAATGTTTTGATTAAACTTGTAAAATTATAGTTTTAAATAATGCAGTTTATACAAAAAAAAATTCTTAAAATAACTCTATTATTTCAATTTGTGTTTTTTAGAAAAAATTTTAAAATGTTTTAAAAAATTTAAATTTTCTGCTTTTAATTAAAATTAAATTAGTTCAATTAAAATGTTTATTCGAACTTTAAATTTTACTAAAAATATTTTTTTCCAAAATATTGTTTCAAATTTTTACAATTTTAGTAATTTGCAACATCTATTTTCCCAAACAGTAGCAGTTCACAATTTTTACTTTTTTACACATTTTAACAATGTCTCAAAGTTAGCAACATATCTGCACACAATACAAGCATTTTACATTTTAAATTAAAGTTCGCAGCATAAGTTTTTACAATAGCTCTCACAGGTAGCAACTTAACACTCAACTTTACATTGTATTAGCGCCCTCTATTTATGCAGTTAGCAGTAACAAAACTACTCAACTTAGTTTAGCAAATGCTAGTCCACACTCATTAATTCAGATATGTAGTTCTAGGTAAGTTAAATCAAAACTTGCTATTTACTAGCCTTATTATTATTATTATTATTATATTTTTATAGATTGTATATAGTTTATTTTAGGTTTACATGCATAATTCGTGTAGGGAAAGTTTTCAATAAGCAAGAGTTTCTAAAAACTTTGGTTTTCTAAAAAATTTGGTTTTCTACTCTTAATTTACATTGAATAAATATTTTAATTCCTAATCATTTTACTTGCTAAATTTCTGAAAATTCCTACTAGTTTAAATTTCTTTTTTAGTAATTCACAACATTTGGTTTTTCTTTTACCCTTCCCTAGATGGATGACGAAACACGAATTGAGTAATTGAAGAGTTAGGTTTGGAGGCAACTTCCCCTTGATAAGTCTGTCTCCTAACTGCTCAACAATTATTCACTTATGCAATTTAATTTGGCCTTAAAAATTCCTTAAAAGATTTTTTTGAGATTAATTCTTTGGAATATTATATTTTTTTCCATGGTTTTAGATACGTGCACTTAATTTACATATGCTCTTAGAATTTAAATGGTATTGTAAATTAGTTTGCAACAATAATTATTTTTATTTTTGCAATTAAATTTTCTTTATTAAATTTTTAATTTATGTTAGCTTTATACGAATAAAGAATAATTGTTAAATTCATATACTATATATATATAAGGATTCGACGGTGATAGATGGTTGAATAAATTTTCCATTGAACAAATAAATTTATGTTGTTGATCTCTTATTTGGCTGTTTATTCATTGTTGAAAATGTAATGCGTCATAATTAAAATTGTAGGTGCGAATTGTTCTCATTCTGATGTGTCATGCCATAGAGTAATCAAAAGGTAATAAAGATATGTTTGGATTATTAAGTGATTTAGTAATGCTTGAAAAGTTCCCGGCATCTTTTACTACGTAATCGGTATTTCAGTCATCTTCTAACTGCAATCAATTCGTTCAGAATAATTAGTTCAGAATAGTTAGTGTCTTCCCTAATCAAGCTCTCATCTAATATCAAATTTTCTGCATCTAATATCAATTTCCTAAATTGTCTGCATATATATGAAACGTGTGGAACGCCAGAATTGTAGAATGTCTAGGCATTTCAAATATGAGAATTATTTGAATATGTTATATATTTTTTCTAGGCATTGTATGCAATACCTAAGCATTTAGAATGACAATTGCTATTTAGGTAAAGTATGAACAGAAGGTCATTATAAGGCTTTTATTTAAAAGACGTGTATTTTGCAGAAATAAATATGTTCTTTAAAAAGATTAATCATAAATAATAATTGGAAAAATAATAGTAAAAGATAATAATTCGTAATACACTTTGGAGAAATTTGGAGTTATCTAAAAAATTATTCGATTTTTAGCTGTCTTTCAGGTGTTAATAAAGGCAGATTTTTAAACAAGGTATTTATAACCCCTAGATTTTTAAGTGATGATGATGTTAGTTTTCTTAATCAAACAAAAATTTAAATTAATTGAATAGAAATTCACATCATCGAATAGCTTGGAAGATTTATGAAAAGGTGACATCATGCGAACTTCGTTGCTATTCTGATTAGATGTAAACATTTTTTTGCACTCAGAAATATTGAGTCAATTTCTTTTTAATTTTTCCATTTTGTATATATATATAGAGAGAGAGAGAGAAAATAATTTTCGTTTAATTTTATTTCAGTGACTTTCAGACGCTCAGACATATATGGAAAGATATTCATCTGTGATATAATATATAGTTGCCTAGAAATTTTCTGCAGATCTTTTATTTCTGAAATCTTCTTAATAGTGTCAGCATTCTTTTTTTGTCTCTTTTAAAGTCCATAGTAAAAAAAATGCTCAGCTTAATAATATATCTCGTTATTTTGATCTATGAGGATGCAACTATATGCTCTACAATTTCTATTTAAAAATTAGGTCTCATATAAAAATTTGTTACGAATACGTATACGTTATTTATAAAAGTGTGCAAATCTTCAACACTGTCATGTCTTGATATCCTACCTTATTGACATTAACAGCGTCTTCAGCTCAGTTTGCGCTTCTATCTCTGTGTTGTGTAAGGACATTTATCTCTTATGCAGCTTGTTAAGTGCTACATTTCCAAGAGATGCAAGGTATTTAATTTGCATAGGCTACTAAGCAGTCAACATACAAAGTGTTGCTGTTAAATGTTGCACAAGTATCTTCTAACTTTTAAATGTAGTTGCCCGACAGATTAGCGCTATAAAAGTGCTTCGGAATATTTGATCTGTTTATTGTATGTTTATAATATATGTAACTGATACAATGGTAATTTTTACAAAGATTTCTACATTATTATAATTCGTAACGATCTTCCGAACGAATATATTGTCTCAGTAAAAGTAAAAATTTTCCTTCAAAATAGCAATGGAATTTAAATAATTCAATATAAACACTACTGGAAACATATTAATAGGTACCTTCACAGAATTTAAATTAGAAAAGTGCAAAAGCTTGTCAATGAGCTAACTGTCATAAAGTAAAAATCATCTTTAAAGTTCATTTATGAATTGTTCATTACGTTTCTGGAAATTATTTAATTACTAATACTGTACTTATAATCTTAGTATTTGAAGCACGTGTCTTATTGGAAGAGAACATGCCAATGTAACGTGTAAAAAAATACATAATATCAACCTTAGCCTGGCGTAGATGTTTTCAGGAAAAAATTTTTTCAGGGGGGAAAGATAGTGCAGAATATTTCTGCTTCTGAAGAAGAAGTACCTGTGTTTGAATGCTTCAAAATTAATAAGAGTTATGCAATACCTACGTCAAAATAAGCATGTTTTTTTGCCTAATTTCAATGGCTGACTGAAATAAAAACCTATCTGTTTGGCGAATTAATTCCTGACTGGGCGACACTTTCTCTGTCACTTGCTAAAATTTATAACCTATTTTGACTTCATTCAGCGACTTTACTTCAGTTTGAAAAATTACTCTACAATATTTTAAACAATCACAATAAATGATGTATTTTCTATGTTTTCGCGTACAAACGGGCTTATAATTCAATACAATATTCGAATGATAACATTAACCGCGATTACATTAAGCAACGTCTACTGTACATACAAAGTAACCGCTAAGTGCTGTAGTTAAAAACCGAAAATACAAAACAGAAAAGAGCTGACTTAAAAAAAAAGAAAACGAATGCTATTCTTCGTCGAAGAGTCTGGAAAATCTTGTGTTCCGGTTTGTTATACTGCTATTCGCTTGTAAACGTTTTATGTAAGTGTGTAACAAATGTGTTACAAATTGATGAATTATTACAAATATAATTATGCTACAGTGTACACATATTTGTATGAATTTTTAAATGTGGCTAGATCATCTTTTTAACATTAATTAAATGAAAATATATACTATTTTAAAAGCCTTATATGATTTATTTGTCTGTTTTTAAGCTTAATTAATACTTTTGCATCATTGAAAACTTTTGGTTTACAGGTAAATATGATGTCAACAACTCTGTGGAACTGAATATTGTATGTGACTTTGTTGAATGCAGGTGTAAACAAATTCCTGTTCTAGTACATATATAAAGAAAGGTAGTCAATGCTTAAATCCTTTTATTGAGTTATTTACAAAATAAGTTTCGAAATAGAATCGAATAACTTAGCATTTCAGAGAAATGAGTCTTACAATCAATGCTAATGACGGTATCGTCTTACTTGTGACGGAGGATTTACCAGCGTTATACCTACATAGAGAATAAAATAATAATGTAACATAATGTCAAAATAGTTTAGAGATTTTTAATTCCTTATATGTTGAAAATCTTAAAATAATTTTTATACATTTATAGTACTAGAACATGGGCACAGATATCTATAACACAGAAATACATAAAGCATTATTGAACACAGTCTCCTTCAAATCCAGTACCAGTTTGTCAGAGCTGCAAAAATGCCTAGATTTTCCAAGGGAGGGGAATACTGTAACTGACTGTTTAACTGCGTCCGTTGACAAACACGGTTAGATTCTTTCCACCTTTCGCTTTCAGTGACTTCACTTGGCACAGGAGACGTCGCTTGGCGTAAGTGGAAGAAACGACGGCATAAAGAGAGAAGAACATTATTGTTTTGAGCAAATTATGATTCAGTGACATCACGGAAGAGGACATTTTGTAGTAAACTTGTATTTCGCTACCTATGCACACATATTTTGTATCCTTATTTCTACTAAAATTCTATGTCTGTGAGTTTCATTGAATGGGACATTCATAAGGGAACTACTGACTTTACACTGAAGGGAAAGACAATCATGTTTAAGCTTCACTTTCCAGTACCCAACAGTTTGATCATTCCTGGATGATTTTATTCCAATGGTAAGTTCTTTCATAGGGTAGGCCATCTTATACTGTTGTTTTCTGAAGTCCTATGTCATATAAGCCATCGTGCTGACACACCTTCATAACTTACGCTAGAAGACACATATATGTATACCATAACAGCACACTACACGAATCCGATTTTTTTTTCCTATAAACTAACTCTATAATAAATACATAAACTAACACTTAAAATTAAGAAACTTATTGTCTGATTTTTCCTCGTGTATATGTATATATAAGTAGAAACTTACCGACCTAACAAAGAAAAAAGACATTTCTTCTCCAAAATTAGCTTTATTTTCCGACATAGTCTCCTTGTAATTTCTTCCAGCTATGCTCCCATCCTTTTAACCAGCCCAAATAAAATGTAGAATCTTTCTCTGTAATGTCTCTTCATTTGACGAAAATTTTGCCCTCCAAGTGCTTCTTTTAGCTTAGGAAACAGAACAGTCACTTTGTGCCGGTTCTTGCGAATAGGGGCGGGGGAAGGAGTGATCAAGCAGTTCAAACCGTAATTCGTGGATTTTCGCTGTTGCAACCAATGAGGTATGAGATGGAGCACTGTCTTGGTGAAAACAAAACTTTTTTTCTTTTGCAAATGTGACCGTTTTTCCGTGAGTTCTGTTTTCAGCTTGTCAAGTAACGTTGCACAGTATGCACCGGCAATGGTTTTCGCTTTCCAAGATCATCTATTGAGACAATTCCATGGCTGTCCCAGAAAATTGTTGCCATCACTTTTCCAGCAGAAAGAACACTTTTTGCCCTTTTTGGAGCCGATTCTTCCTTTGCAGTCCACTGTTTTGACTGTGCTTTTGTTTCTGGATTGTAATCATAAATCCAGGTTTCATCTACAGTGATTAATACTCGAAAGAACTCCGACAGAACGATGCAAATGTTCATTCAGACACGTTTTCGGTTCAAAGTGAGCAACGTGCAGCCAGCTTGCGCATATATAAGTCTTAGTTCAATATGTGGGAAGCACGTTCTTTGGACATGCTAATAGCCTTTGATATCTCTCTAACCCTGATTTGATGGTTGTCAGCACCATTTGGTGGATTTTAGCGATGAATTTTTTAGTGGTTGCTGTTTTTGGCCGTCCTGAACGTTCATCATCTGACAATCTGGTACGCCCACGTTTAAATTTAGTTGCCCAAACGTTCACAGTGGTAAATGATGTTGCAGTGTCCTCATATAGTGTGTCTAACTCCTCTTTAATCTGAGCAGGCATATTACTTTTTAAAAACAGGTATCTAATGGCAGCACGATAGTCGATACAGTGATTGTTAAACAAAAAAAGTCGCATTCAAAATAGCTGAAATTTTGATTGGTATATTTCGACCGTCAAGCGCAACCCTGGTTGGCATTCTGCCAAAACATATAGACTCGTCCAAAAGGGGCGGTATTACTTGCTGCGACGTGAAAGGTCTTCTCTTCTCCGGAAAGAGGGAAAGAAAGTCCCCATCCTTCGACCCTATTTTGAGAATAATTCGGTCCGAATGGTGCATGCGTGTTTGCGCTCATGGTCGCGGATGAGGCGGTCGAACTATAGTTATCAAGTGATAACCCAAACACGTCCGCCCCCACTTCGGTTGATTTGAGGTGCGATCTACATACTGAGATCAGAAACTTTTCAGACAGCCCTCCTTTATATATATATATATATATATATATATATATATATATATATAAGTTTGAATTAAATTCAATATATTAATAAATCGTTAAATGTAATAGGTTTCCTAATACTAGCGCAATAAAAATAGTAATTTATTTACCAATGGATTATTGCGTATTATCTCCTTAGATAAGGTTAGTAGAATTGTAGTGGAATGAAGTAACTTGAAGCATTGTCATTGAATTTTGAAATAATTTTTTAAAGAAAATTCAGCTCCTTTAAAAAAATTATTTCAAAATTCAATTACAATGCTTCAAGTTACTTCATTCTACTACAATTCCACTAATCTCATCTAGGGAGATAAATTCAATAATCCATTTGTAAATAAAAAAATTGAGTTAAAAATTTTTACTTTAAAAATTCACTGTATTGTAGGTTAGCTCCCTCTTTACTTTTATAACGGCTCGTATCAAAATTAGTAGATTTATTTTCATGGATAGATTTTACACTTGATTTGTTTATGCTTCTGAATTTAAATGATATTGTAGATTAGTTCGAGAATTAAATCTTTTACATGTTTTGCATATTTTTAAATTATTTTAAATTATTTTTGCTTTTTTCCTTTTTTTAGAATTAAATTTGCTTTTCTACTTTTTTTACTTTTATACGTATTTGATTAGAATTTAAATTTGTTTAAATTTATACATATATATATATGGTTTCGATCTTACAAAAATATAATTTACTGCGTTTATTCTATTTTTCTTTGCTTTGATACAACTCTTAGAAGAAATATGCTATATGATTCAAAAATCAAATATAGATTGTCAAGTAATTGGTACATTTCAGCTGCTGCAGCAGTGATGTCATAAAACAACAAACCTTGTAGTATATTAATCTTGCTAAAATCCATGTCCATATGGATATGTCAATCATATACGAAGCTTAAAACTAAACGGTATTGTGGTAATTTAGCACTTACCCTTTAACATTCATGTTAAAAGAATATGAATTTACTTAGTTTCAGATTAAACTATCACGTTTAATACAGTCACGCAACTACGCAACTTAACGGCAGAAATTCTGCTCATATATTGAAGGTGCAAGCTGTCTGTTTTCATTGTTTAAATCCTTGAAAAACTTTTACAAGTTTCAAGAACAAGTTTTATTTTTGTCTTCTTAAAAATTTTTAAACTCACTTTCATTTTTCCATCATACTCTGGCCACTAAATATATCTTTGAAACCACCTGAATAAAATATAAGGTTACACAAACACATGCATTTTTTCGGTATCGGTGTAGTGAACTTTCACTAAACCATTTCCAAATTTTCAAGTTGTTAAAATGTTTTTAAAATACCACTGAGAAATGCTCAGCGACGACCCGGTGAGATAGCTAAACGGCGAGCTTAAGGTTGCCAGAAAGTAGCAGGAAAGGCAGGGCGGCCATTTTTTTTTTTTTTTTTTTTTTTTTTTTTTTTTTTTTTTTCGTTTCGTATATTTGGCGATGTTTGGCAAAAAAATTGGCGATATGTCATAGACGGAGCGAGAATATTTTAGAACGTATTTTTAGCAGTTGTTTCGGGAATATTCTCAAAGGTAGGTTAAAATCTGTACATACCCTGCCTGCACGGGGAGAAAGTAGTGTTTTGATTTCAGAGATTAGCTTGCGAGCGATCGACCGAGTCGGGAGCTGTACTTTAGTTCTTTGTCGTGAAGCTGGCTCCTCCGTTATAGCATGAAGGCTTTGTTGCTAATTGTTTCCGCATGTTTCTCATAGTTTTTCGACAAGTCTAAACATGTCTTTGGAACTGTCCTGTGTAATAGTGCTTAATGGCGAATAAAGTGTGCTTTGATTCTTCAGCAAGTGTTATCATCAATTGCTCTAAATCCACGAATCCGTAGAGTGCAACAATACAATATTTTTCATATTTAAGGCAGATTACAAGCATTTTCAGGGCAACTCTTTCCTATCTTTATAAGGAAAGAAACCTTACGTTTAACTTACTCTGAAGAAAATATTTAGCAACATTTATCACAGTATCAGATAATAATACAGACATATGTTAATAATGAGAGACATTTTCATATTTACCAGTTCCAGGGGTAGCACAAAAAGGCAGTTTCGGTTTCCATTTTCCGTTAATATCACATTGATATTTAGCTTTCTCAACAGCAGGTTTATCCTCATAATGTTGACACGATATCTCACATATAGGTCCATGATCCATGAAATTTGTATGACATTTCATTGCTCCTCCTGGTCCTAAGCTGACAGTACAATCAACGAATGCTGGAAGAGATTAAAAATTAAATTTAGCCAATCATCTGAAAATTTAAATAATCGAGAAATAAATAAAATATGCATTCATTCCTGTTAAAGGAAAACATGATCGCATCATATTGATTGCTAATATCTTTCATAACTTACCTTGTACACTTCTTCGAATCTAAGCTGCGCGTTTATTCCATGCTATGAAGTCATATCATATTCTACGGCTTGATTTGTTGGAAATGTCTTAGTAAAAACAATATGCTTATATAAATTATGCAAATATTTTCTGTTGTTCGTTGTGATTTGTTTTTTATGTATTTTTTTAATTGAACATTTGCTATTTTTTATTTAATATATTGATTTAATTGAGTGTCTTTTGTATGGTTATTTTGTGGCTGCTTATTGTATACTTTATTCAATTATGAATTTGTTGGCATTTTTCTGTTTAGATCAGTTTGGTTTATACATTCTTTTGCAGAATTTTGAATTCTGAGTTGTTTGGTGTGGACACTGCAAAAATAGTTCAGGGCTAAAAGGAGATATGGGCAAGAAACCTCCTACCAGAACTTGGCGACAATTATTATTGCCAAGCTTACTAGCTTCGGCGACTTTTTTAAAATAACAAACAAAGCTTTCCTGCCCACTTTCGTGGTAACGTTCTGAAACCTTCAGTAAAATGTAGTTTCTTCAAAATCTAGCAAAGATTTTCCTAAAAGCTTCCAGAAGTGTTTGCAGGGTTCCTAGACCATTCCTCCCCATATACCGAAACCTGAGCGTGATAGTGAATCAGATGTATCGAGACCAAAGAACATCTCAGTGATTAATGCTCTAAACGTTTCTCTGCGATCGATTTTGGGTGATATTTCTAGCGAGTAAAGAGAATTTTGTCTTTTCTTTTCTTTATTCTTGGATTGTTTATAGCTGATCACCTTACCTGTAAGAGTTTTTTATTCATAAAGTCTGACACGATTGTTTAAAGAAATCTGTATGAAATCTTAGCTTGCAAAAATCTTAACAAAAGTCATTCGAGACAATTAAACAAGAACAAAATATTAGCTTATTTTATGATATTAAACACTTTTCATAAATTCCAGACAACTAAAAAAGAAAATTACACTTACGTTTACACTTTTCAAATCTACGTGTGGGCGACCATTCCCCTTTTGAAAACTCACATCTCATCGTCCTTTTTACGCCTTCTTTCAAAGTGTAGCCGAACATGCAAGTCTGATTGCATTCTCTGAAAGAAATCAGATTTCATCATGAAGTCATGGTGAATTAAATGCGATATTTGTGGTCTCATGGAAGTAGCAAAACTAATTTGTATGATTTATAGATTTTAATGATTAGCTTCTGGTACGGCCAACCGCACAGAATAGTTACTATAAGAAAGAAAAATTATGTAATGCCTTTAATGAAAATAGTAGTGTAATTTTACTGGTTTAGCTAGTAATTAATAACGACAGAGAGAAAGAACTACATTTACTGTTTTTAAATAGTTTAGTTTATAGATTAAAATCGAAGGGAAAGCGAGCATCTTATACTTAGTTAAATGGCAACAAACTGGCGTATGAAAGCTATAAACATTTTATATCGAGCAGTAGAAGCACATTTCTTGTAAATCGCGGAGTTCTTTTATTAAATTTTATCTTATGTTTTACAGACTGGCAAAATATTGCTTTTAAGTCGCTGAGTTTGTTAATCAAAGATTCATCAAATTCACCCAAAATGTGAAATAAATTAGAAATAAATTCAAACTTCCAGCTTCGAGACGTGCTCCAATGGAGGATTACGTTATGTTGGTATAAGATTGAAGATTGGTGGCTCTAGGTGCAGTCACTTTTCTGCAGTTTGAGGAGCATGCATACATATTCTTCATTACTGAATACACCTTCTGTGCCATCGGTTCCTCACATTTAAAAGGAAAATATTGACGAATACAGCGGTAAGATATGTTGTAGCGTAATATTGCGAAGCCGTCTATCGAAATCAATGTTTCATGACACTAATGTCACTTGACACATCTTTCAATTTTTTAGGTTAACCTAATCATTAGGAATTATAACTATTTTTCTAATTTCATCCCCTGATAAATTGTTTCATTTAATTTGAATATCAACCAATTGTAAAAGCAAGATGAAAAAAAAAAATGTTTTCGAACAAAGATCGAATTACGGCTGTCCAGTTCTTGGTGCATCAAATAAAAACTGAAAAGTTGAAAAAGAATGCAAGTACGTTAGTTGCAAAACAATTTAAGCGCGACAGAATGACTTTATCAAGAATTTGAAAATGTGCTTCCGACAATAATTGTCAAGGTGAATCGTATCCTTGTTAATTCTTTGTAAAAACAAAACTGTGGACGTAAATGCAAAGATTACGGGTAAATTTTGGAAAACTTAAGACATGCTTCTCTTAGCAGAAAAGGCGCTAAGAAGCAGTTAACATAACCTTCGATAATAGTATTTCTCCACAAATACTAGATAATACGTTTCTGCTACTTCAACACGTTATGCTCGAAGCAATGAAATAGGATGTCTCCAATAGTTTTAAGCTCACTCTTATACGGAAAGCAAAACTTCGCAGCCAAGATATCCTACGTACAAGTTTAAAATGCAGTAATGAAACTATTGAAAAATCCAGAAGCTATTTGAACACTCAGAATAAAAATCAGGAGAAATATTTTCAATTTTCTAACAGAACTATTTGGGTGTACCCAAACTATTTTATCGAACGCCATCTTAGTGGCAACGAGAACAATTTGCAGCAGTAGACCTCCAGCTGTGATGATGAATGGTTCTATATAGTATCGCTTCGTTAATCCGAATATTCTGAACGTAAGGTGTTTCGTTTTGGTGAATGTTCCATTTTGATGAATAGTTTCTTTGTAACTATTTCTCTGCTCTGTTGATAAATACTTTTAGAACTAGTCGGCGTTTGTGTTCATAGAAGAACGTTACAATTTATTGTTTAATTTAATCTACGTTTCTTGATAATAAATGCTGCGTTCTATATTTATTTTCTTTTGTTATTATTATTATGGGACAAATTAAATTCATCAGCTGCCATTATTGGTATGTGACAGATGGAGTAATAAAGAAGAGATATTATTAGTATTATCATCACTACTGGTAAAACTTATTGTACATATATATATATATATATTATGAAATATAGTGTTGTATGATCTTAAATTCACTTACTGCGAAATCGAGTTATTCTACTACTTGCGCAATTGCTGCAAAGTAAATTAATAATAATTTATTTACTAAGAAATATTGATTATATTATCTCCTAAGATTAATTTTAGTAGAATTATCTTAAAAGAGTGAGTTCATAGTTAGAATTCATTGTTAAAAATGTTTAACGGGGACTTAAATTAAATCATGAATAACAAAATTTCAGTTGTAAAAAGAAATAAATTAAAAGCAAGTAATTAAATTAAAAGCAAGTAATCATTGCCATTGATCGGAAATTAGTTGACTTTTCAAGGGGAACAAACCAACTCCCGTTCAATGAACAATAATTAAGAAATAAATACGAAGGTGTTTCGTCCTTTACTCAAGTAATAAGGCGATGCCAAACTGGCAATTTAAGTTAGGCCAAATTATTTCCGTGAATTGAAGGGATCAAGAACCAATGCAGAGCACCAAAGAACTCATTCCGACTAAGCATTTTCGCTAATTCAATTTTTGCAGTAAAATTGATAAATTACTCGAGTAATTGTCCCCCGACACTCTCGTGTTTACGCTGTGTTCTGGCCATAACTATTCTTTTAATAATTTAAAGGTCTATTTTCATTTCAAACACGCTTGTCCGCCCTCTAATGCGAAGAATTACGACTTTTTATTAATAAATTGCTAATTTTTTCAATTTCAACTCCTTTCGGCCAGATAAGCACTTTCTTAGAAGTTAGCCATTTTGTTCTTAACTTCACATTTTTTCACGACACAGTTTTGAACAAGACGCCATTTTATTAAAAATACCTAACGTCATTCACCTTCTTACGCCCCCAACAAAAGAGACAAGTTTGTTTCCCCTTTGGCTGTTACTAACCATTGGCTATTGCTTCTTTACGTCAGTTCCCCCCTTCTTCGAAGCCTCACCGTATTGGAGAAATTTAACTACTTTACTTTTCTGGTCACACTCCTTTAGACGCTTCTTTTTACGGCAACCCTTTGCAGCAATTTTGATCATTTTAAGTTTAACATACCACTGTTCTGGACGTAAGTATGTTTCGTCCCCATTTTGTATTCTTCTCTGTTCTTTGCAAGATCCATTTCGATGCGTTTTTATTATCTTTCTTTTGATTCTTCTTCTTAAAACGTTTATAATTTTCAGTCTTGAGGGGTATTCCTTAAAATTGTGTAATTTGTAGACTAATAGCATTTTAAGCTATTTATTTTAAGTGTACATTTGCCTAACTAGAATGTATAGCTTTTTTCTTGTTTAATAGTAAGTTTTACTTTTACAATTAACATTACGGAGCGCCAATAGTCTTTTAACTATTTTATTTTAATTGTACATTTGCCTAACTACGCTTTCTTGTAAAGCTTTTTCTTGTTTAATAGTAAGTTTTACATTTTCAATTTAAATTACAGCGCTTAGGGAAAAGAGCGATATGATTGAGACTTACCAAACCATTTTAGATCCATTAAGTTGGATTATTCTATTTGTGAAATTACATTTATAGTCTCAATTGTTATCATTTGACGAAACGCGCTATAGGTATTAACTTGATTCGAGTTTTGAGCTGCTTTTCCCTTGATAAATCCGGCTCAAACTTCGAGTTGAGCTATTTACCATTTATTGCAATTTTTTGTACATATTTACTATATACTGTATATTTGTATTTTTAGTGCATTAAAATTTATTAACTTTCGCTCACCCTTTTTAATTTTGAAGTCATCTCGATTTGTAATTTTAACATTTAGTTTTTACGAGATAGCTTTTACTACTTTATTATTGTTTCTGGCTTGTTGCATGATTTTACATTTTTGCTAAGGAACTATAGTGTCAAATGTATTTTTTAGCATTAGCTTTTAAAGATTCCTCTTACTTATAATATATATATATATATATATATATATATATATAGAAGAAAGCGAAATAATTATTTTATTGCATAAAAGTCATATTCAAAACATGGTGTTTGTTATTATGTTTCCTTCCTTTATGGGCGTCATTGAGGAAACTTCTGAAGCTTCTTCTTTATATATCGAGACTTTTCATGTTATCCATTCTCTCATCGCTTCTTGGAAGCCGAGAAAGAAAGAGTAAAACATTCGAAAGCTCTGTTGCAGAACTTAATACAAAACGCAAAGTTTTTTTGCTTCATGTTTTTTACCATAAATTTTACACCATTTTGACCCCATTTTCAATGACTTTCGTAGACAAAATAAAATTTTCTCTATATTCGTATCTGTTAATATGGCATATATATGAAACATTGACTTTCTTTAAAATTACTTCTGATATTGATCCTATTATGTATGTCTTTTGTCTTAATAAAACAATTAAAAGACTCTCGAGTCTAAAGCATTCAGAAATTAAATTTTCTGAGTTCTAGATATGGCGTGAATTTGTACAACTCTTCAAAGTGTACAAAATAAAGATTAAATAAATATAATATTGAAAATAGTAGGACTTAACATACCGTCGAGACGGCCAAGTTTTACAGAACAGTTCAGAATCATCCATAGATTTGGGAAACTCACAGTTGTGGGGAGAGCGCTTTTTCCTAACGATCTCATTATCTTGAAACGATTCATCATTCTCTGAGTCATCTAAATCAGAACATTTTTCAAGTTCAGTATTATGAAAATCCACTGAAAGGCCTTCTTCACCTAAAAATAGGTGAATAATAAAGAATGAACAAATTAAGCAATTTATTCGGGCCAGGGAACAAAATATTTTTATTATGCTGATCTATTTGAAATCCTGAACTGAATGTTATATAAAAAATAAATTAGTATGATCGAGCTTCTATTATTACTTAAAAAATGTAGTAACTGAAGACAATATCACTTGCAACTGACTAAAAAATCTGCTCAACACACACATCTTACGCCGCCCTAAGGGACGCTTTTTTTAACGTTTTGTGTGTTACCTTTATTTATTAAATATTATGTTATTCGCATTTAAACCATAAAATTCAATTCAACATCAATATCTCAAAATATTTAAAAGAGCATATCTTTAGAATTTCCGATATACCAATTACCGATATACCATAGAATTTCCGTGTTGGAAATAATCCCCCACGTTCAGTGTTGCCATTGCTCGCTTTAAAATCTTTGAGTTTCTTAATCAAAACGGCAAATACTTTACAAAATATGAAATAAAAAATGAAACAAATTCCAAATTTGGCCTTCTAGATGTCCATATTCGGGTGGAGACGTACGTTATTCAAAATTTTATGGCTCTAGGTACCGTTGTTTTATTACAGTGGGAAACACATACACACATTTATGCAGATTCTTCATTATTTAATTTCTTTAAATATAATGCAGGGCTCTAATATTTAATAGCAACAATTTAAAAAGTGATTCGCCGTTTATGGGAAATCAACGTAAAATGCCAAAACGAAATTAATAGGCCTTCTGGGCAAATTGCCCCTTTGGGCTAATTGTCACGAGTAATAATTATTAAATAACTTTTAAGTATTATGATTACTGTACATTTCTGGAAATTTGAAACACAAATGACTTTTTCAGACATTAAGGAGAAATAAAAATCGCGCCTTTACGAATAAAAGAAAAAAAGTTGTGCTTCGCTGGAACGGCAACATTAGAATGACATTCGAAAGACTTTATATCAAAGTTAATGAGAAGATTGTTTAAATTCGTATAACTGGTACTTTTGCGCTTTTTGAAGGTTTAAATATAACTGCTAATATTGTCAAAATGGAAGAGCTGTTTTGAAGAACCTAGTTTTTATTTCATATGCTATTATTAATTCAAAGTTAATAAAGCGCGAGAAGAAGCACATTTTAACATGGATTATGTAATATAAGAACATAATTTACCCATACGGACATCCAATTTTAGATATCTGTCTATAATGGATCAAACCATTACACGATTATGCTAGATGTTCATAGATGCCATAAAAGCCGGCTTTAAGCATGTCTTTATACTACTGGTTAAATAAATGTTATGTTTTTACCTGATGATATACGTACATTTTGGAAATTTTGTTGCCTGAGATGCTCTTTCTTGCTCATTTTAAGCCATCATTAGATAATTATGAGTAAATTACTAAACATGAACACTAGATAATTAGAAGTTACTAGTTGTATACAAAATTCGAATGCAAGAAAATCCTTATATACCAAAAGCCTAAAATGTTTTAGCTCTAATATGATTACGGTGACCATATTTTTTCGGAGAAAATAAAGGACACTTGTAACGTGACATGAGGGGGGGGTATGGTAATTTAAATTCGTGCTCAATAATTTTGTGTTAGGGGTGGGGGTTTGTGCGTTCGTGTGACGTCACAAATGTTAATTTGGGGTCTTCCAAGGTGTGACAAATTGTGACATGAGGATTGGGGATGGGCAGGGTCAAAATTATCACCAAATATTGCGATCATTTATGGACGCCTCCTGATAAAAAAAAGTCCAAAAAACTTAGTAATTCAAAAGGTTTATTAAAACAATAGAAGCAGACATTAATATGTTCAACGAGTTTTAAATAATGCAATATGTAAATATAGGATATTAAATAATTTATTGCTCATACTTTCCAGATGTATGGATTTTTCGCAAAAGTGCCGGTTCACGCTTCAAAAAGTCGTGAAATTCAAGGCAATTCATTTCAAAGTTAAATTTTACAGCTATGCTGCTTGTAATGTACTAACACTTAATTGGGTTTTTGTCACTGGTCCACATATTATTTACTAATGAAATATTCTTCGACGGGAGCATTAGTTCCAGGTAGACATAAAGCAAACTCAATGAGTTTACAAGTATTGTTGAAGGCAATATGATTCGCTTTAAAGTGATTAAATATCTCCACCCACCTTAGGTGGCAGGATTTGCTGTTTTGCCTCCATTTGTCAATTTTTTCATTGGTAATGTAATTTTTTACGAGGGTAATTTCGTCAAATAATTCACCGTCGGATATTTCGACCGAACATTGTTCTGATATGAAAATGTAACTTGCCTCCACCTTCGACCACACAGGGACTTCTCGCAAAGTGATCCATTCAAAAACTTCTGCTTCATTGAAACACATGTCCCAATTGCTTAGATATTCAATGCATGTTTGATAAAACGTGCAAGCTTCAGAGATAAACTGTGTAGATTGCATATCTTGCACTTTTGATAACGTTTCTTTATCACTATTGGAACAAACTTCTCATTTTTTTATGAATTTAGCTTAGTTTTTAATTCCTTAACAAGTAACGATGTTTCACACATTGAAAAATCTTGACCTTCAGCCTTCAAAATATATTGATGAAACATTGACGCTTGATTATGAACAAAAAATAACCATTCCTTTGATAATTCCCCATTGAAAAAAGTTTTAAGTATTGTTGGGCATTTATCCCGATTTAAAAAGTAAGTCTTTAAGGGTTCAAATAGTTGTAAAACTCTATCCAGTGCTGGAAGAAGAGTTAACCATCTTGTTTTACTGTAGCCAAGTAGCTTTTTGTATTGGACCTCTGCCTCATCACAAAATTGTTTCAATATTTCTACTCGTATTGTGTAAATATAGAAATGTGAGTAAATTTTTACCAATACCACTTCAATATCTATCGGAAGGCAATCGACCGCAGTGCTGATGCAATTATTGAATATGTGGGCTGCACAATTAACCCCCAATCAATTTCTTTTTGCTCGATTGTTGCATTTTGTATAAAACATTGTTTTTTCCTCTTCTTTGAGAACCACCAAAATTAACATTTGTATTATCCGCGCACAAGGCTACCAATTTCTTGGTTGGCCCCAAATTTCTCCAGCGATTCATTGATACAATTTGTCAAACTATCGGAATTTTCACCGGGAAGCTGTTTATATTCAAAACTTTTACTCTAACTCCAAAATTGGGGTAAAAAATATCTGACAAGAATTGTACATAATTTGGTGTTGCCATGATTCGAACAATCAGAATAAATGGTGATATAATTTTTTCGCTTAGGTCACTTTTGATCGCTTCAAATGAATATGGGCGAAGTCATTGCAAATAATTGATTCCGTTTTGTCCTTGCGCAAGAATATTTTTCTTCGAAAACACTTCTTAATTAGTTTGGAGGAGCAGTCACTAGATCTAAATGAATAATTGTGTTGAACTGAATGATAACACCACGATGCTTTCTTTTAGGGCTAACGCGTTTTGGGTGTCATTATCTCTTTTATTAACAAAAAAATTCATTTAAAGATTTGCTTGTCGAAGCCTGCTATCCGCATCTTTGTGTTTTGAAGTTTGAAGATGCTGATTAATTGCTGATCTGCCGCGCTATTTGCAATTTTGAAAGTGGCTAAACATTTACTGCATCTGACATCGCTATCCGATTTTCCTTTTTTTATGAAAGGAAATTCTTCCTGCTATGCTTGGTTGAAAGTGCACTTTCTTTTAGGCGCCATGAATGGTAAAAGTCAAGATTTCTATAAAAATTTAGTTAGATAATACCGAAATATCAAAAACTGAAAATACAAAGCAAAACTTACTTAGGAGCTAGGACCAGGGTAAGTCATAAATTGATTACGTTGAGTAAACTAAAAGCTGTAAAAATACATATTGGGTAACATTGAACGAAGGACGTGCCGAGCGCACAAACCGTAGAAGGAGAATGAACACAAAGATTAAAGAAACTAAGCAGTCCCTAGTTATGTGGTGGTGGTACTAACGCGAGAAGCAAGCATTGCTCCGGCCCGACTGCGTATTTGTCAGCGTACGGCTCGGCTGGCATTTAGAAAAATACGTTGCGGGTGCTCCGATCTAGAGTTGCAGAAAACCAATTTGAGAAATTTGATTTTGCGACGATTTCTCAAAATAAAGGACAATATGCTTATTTCAGGAAATAAATAAAGTTAGAGGACACAGTCTTCAAATAAAGGACTGTCCTCTGAAATAAAGGACGTCTGGTCACCGTAAATATGATGCTAAGTGTCAAAATATTTTGCATCCAAATATCTGATCAGATTAGCTGTAATCAAATGCATAGCAGAGGTTCTGTAATGTTAGCTCATAATGAGTTAAGCCATTTCTCACATGTGGTTTAATTCCGTAACAAAACATACCCTGTAGCAGAACTCATGCTACTTGTTGAGGTTGTTGAGTTGCATAGCAATGAACACCATTTTACTTTCTGCTTATTTTTTTTTCCTCTTACACATCGGGAATGAGCATTATTTTATTCCTTTCACACTTTTTTATCTCTAAGGAATGAAAAAAAGATTTCCAAGCTGAAACTTCTAATTAATGAAGCAAATTACTCTGGGAAAAGCATTTAAAATAGAATGCCCTATCGTTCTAAGAGACCCCATACCATGATCCCTTAACTATTTCTGATGCTTCTTCGCAAGCTAAAAAAACTGCAAAGTGAAATAAATTGTTATTAAAACTAGGCTTCATATGTACAGAACGGAATCCTGCCGTTATGTGTTGCTGGCGTTGTTTCGTCATAGTGATGACACACTATTGCTTAGCTATCCTGAAAATGCTGAGTATCAGTAATGATTATGTCACATTTATTGCTATTAAAATCTTGCATGAATGAAAATACTCGCTTATCAGCAGAAAGCCTAGCTACTGGTAGGAAAAATGAGGAATGGTGACGGTGCTAAAAAACTACAAATTGCCACTTTGCTGAGATATTGCCACTTTTGCTTTCAGATGATCATATATAAGCAGATTTAACATCGTACTCAGAATCATTAAAACTTTTGATTAAAATTAGTTTTAGGCTTTGTTTATAAAATATATATATAATATAAAGATATTTTATATTGAAATATGTTTCATTACCAAGCTGTCTCATCATATGAGTACATATGCTAAAATTTAAAAGTATAATATTCAAATTCTTTCTGGTATCAAACGTATCGGATGTGGGATGCTTAATCTGTATCACAACATTCTTCTTTGGAAAGTATAAAATAATCCGTATTTCAATTAATAATGATCAACGAATGGTCTAGCATTTGAAGTAATTGTTAGGTTAGTTCCATGTTCTTATAAACATTAAGTACATCGTCGTGATTAATGAGTAAGCCAAAATGCTTCTTAAATGCAATTAACTCAAAATTTTATGTGACATATTGCATGTTTCAGGCTTAAAGAAAAATATCCAATGATATTCTCAGAACACATTTTACTCTGTATATTTTGATAGAATTGGCCATGCATGTAATTAGTTATTTTATTCTGGGAATAGATATTGAATTTTATTTTTAACCTTCAATTTCTCCAAAATTTCTACACTGCAATATTTTAACATGCATAGCAACATCCAAACGTTCTTTCAGTTTTATAGAAATAATTTAAATACTTTTCCTTTGAAGGCTTAGTTCCTAACAACTTTTTATGACAATAACTTTGAATTGCGAGGCTTTTCTTCAAGCACTAGGACAGCGATAGCGAAACTTTTGAGCTCGGCGTGTCCAAACTGAGAAAAATCCTAAATTAATTTTGGTGCCGTGTCACATATAGAATCACAAGTCTGTCATCCGTGTCAAACACCTACCGAGAATGTCTTTTAACTGCCCCCAGGTTAGCGGAGTACATGTTGGCGACAACGAAGCCATTGAACGAGACAAATATTTTTGTCTTATGCAGTGTTTTGTCTCCATCGATGGCTCAGTAAATGCGTGATACGTGTGACACAAAATGGGTTTGCGTGTCACTTATGACACGCTTGGCATAGGTTCGCCATCAGTGTATTGGGATCTCTTGATCTGTCGGAGAAACTAGGTTATTATCACTTATCAATCCTGCTTATTCTCTTTGTCCTTATACCATTTTCTCAGAAGCAAGATTTAATTTTCTGTCAGAAATCAGCTAAAAAGTCAAACAAAACATACGACGTCAGATCTGCTGAATACGGGGGCCTGATCTGTAATTCACTGACGTATTACAGTGGTTCGGTCTGGATGCATAAACGGAGATCTTGGTCATTTTGACTTTCAGTATTCCAAACAATGGGTTCATCTTCGAAAGAAATGCAACACAGTCATTGGCAATTATGTCGAAAATGTTAAATAACTAAGCTTCGAAATCTAAATTATTTCTATGAAATATTAATCGATTATTGAAACTCCTCAATTAGTATACACCAATGTCTAGTTTCATTTTTCTATACTCGTAAAGTCTGCAAGCTAATTCAGCACCCAAAATTGCAAATAACTCTATCATAAAAAATTTTAAGAACATTTACAAAAGAATCGGGCGTAATCATGTTATCTTGCTGTAGTTCCACAACATTTGTGTTCCAAAATAATTATGTTGTCTTGAAATAAAATTAAATACCCACGCCTTTATATGTAGAACTGATAAACGTGTATTAACAAAATGCATAATTTTTTACATTACCTGCACTGTAACTGAAAGTCTTGGCCAGAGGTCTGAGTATTACTAATTCTTCCGTGTCTTGGTAACAATGACTTATTCCAGTCCACGTTAGAAAGAGGAAAACTGCAAATATTTGAAATTAAAAAAATAATTTAATACGTTGCAGATTCCTGTTAACTGAAACATTTCTGGACATTAACATTAGGCTACATTAAGCGGCTTACTTATCAAAATAATATTACATTAATATTTTTAAATAGCCATACTCAATATGAAATCAAAAACGCAAGGTGGAAATTTCATCTGGATATTTTCAAAAAGTATAAATACAGAGGATATGCCATCAAATTGCTTAAGTCTGGAAATACGTTTTTGGTTTTCCTTTAGCAACACCAGCGCAGAATGTGCCAAAAGAGTTTGACAGGTTAGTTTCTTGATAACTATTGTTTAATACTGACAATGTTTAAAACTGATTTGAAGATTTTTCCTTTTGATTGATAACCGTTTTTAACGAAGTTTTACAACTAGGTGACAAAGTTTTCTTGAAAAGTTTTGTGTCAGAATGTTCCTGAATAATGCCCGAATGTACCGAAATTTTCTTGAATTCCGCAATACTTCCCACTGCCGCTCGATTAGCCAAGTGCTGAGAATTTCAGAACTCTACAGCATGCACTTATTTTTATCAAATACTGAAATCAAGGTTTCATATTAAAAAATAAGAGCTACAAAGACATTTTCACTATTATTCTATCGTACAGACCCTTTAACCACCAGGAACTAGATATATTTGTCGATATATGCAGAAAAGTTTTAAGAAGGCTGCTACAGTTTCTTTCAGTAAATATACTAGCTATCCCTTGACCAAATACATTTGTAAGTTTAAAAAGATGTTAATAGTGATCAGCACAGAACCTTTAGATATGTAGGTAATTGGAACAACAATCGTCGTCTTAAGAGAGAAAGCCTGCTTAGGCGTACTGAAAGTGAGAGATGGCACTGCAAAGTAATGTTGAACATGTCTCTCTGACCTGCTGTTCAGAGTTTACTGTGACATTTAGTGACAGAGGTTTATTTGGGACTGAACTTTGCTCTTATACTAACAATGGTACGCAAGATTTCCTGCGTGTTCTTTAAAATTCAATATCATTTAATTTAATGCTTTAATTCTGAAATCGAAAAATCATCCGAATAGAGTTTTAAGATGACTAAGCCCATTTTGAGATTTAGAATAGAACACTGATTGTAAAATTACAACTTATATCAGCAAATAGATTGAATAAATTGCTGACCATCGGTATATTTGGTACTGTTGGTTAACTGTCGGGTCAGTCTCGCCTGGTTTCTATCAGTAATCATTCACGAAATCACGTGGTTTTCCAGCAGTTAGTGGGTACGCGTTGCGAAAATAAGGTGTAGTACAGCGGCGCTGTTACTGGTAAAATGGAAAGATGTACGAACATAACATTTTGTTTCAAACTTTGGAAAACGCCATTGAGGATGTCCCGATAGCATATTTCACAAGTGCACATCTGTGTAGCCACCAAGGGAGGGGCTTCTAGGATGGACCAATGAGCATCCAGTAATATTTCTGTCATGTCACATGACCTTTCGCGTGCTTTGAGATTTAAGCAATATGGTTGAAAATATTCTGCCACGCGATTTTCGTAAGAAATATTTAAAGGATCATCGACTGCTTCTGAAACTTTTCATTGCGAAGTTAGGTCAAATATAGACAATTATGAGGATTTCACTACCTGGTTGAAATACATGTTGGATACTTCGCAAAAATATCGACGTCAAATATTACTTATTATGTGGTAAATAAGATGAAGAAAGAAATATGTGATAAACATCTGAGCCCAAATGGAATCTTTACATAAAACTATGTGTATGAGAAAAATATTTTCACCAGTTACATATGTAAACAGAAGTCAGCACTTTTTATTGCAGTCTATATGAAAAATGTTCTATAATAATAATCAATGCAGAATTTTAGTCAAAGTGAAATTTACTAATTTGCATTCGTATACATTTAGTGTGTTAAATTGCACATTTAATAACTGCTCACTCTTAAGTGAGCAGTCTACACAAGAAATACTCATCAAGCAGAGTGAATATATCTTATTCACAACGAGTATATTCAATTTATTCACATATAACTTTTAATTTTAACAATAGATCATATGTGTTCTGAATCTTGCACTTTTAAAAATCAAAAGAATGCACTGAAATAAACAAAGACTAGATTCGTTGTAACACTTTCAGTCATTCTCATCTCAATTAAAAAAAAATATACACTTGAATTCTCTTAATCCACATAATATGCTGTGAACATCAATCCAAATATTAATGCGTGATAAAAATCTCGAAAGTGATATGTCAGCGATTAATGAAAATCAGAAAACGAAAGCACTACAAAATTTTTACTATTATGCCATATATTTATAACTGCGAAACAAATGCAAATTAAAACGTAAACAATATACAGGAAGATTTAGCGTCACAAGAGCAATAGCAACTCATTGGTCCATTTTCGAAACCCCTCCCTCAGTGGCTGCGCTGATGTGCACTTGTGAAATATGCGTCCCGATATGTGCTGCAGCAAGTGCTTGGATATTACCAGCATGCTACACAATATGAATGGTTTGCGGACATTGCTGACTCCAATATGTGAACAATTAACGCAACAGCCTGCCTTCACCCAATGTACGGAAGAGCTTGGGGAGCGGGCATTAAAAGGGAAGAGTATATAATATATTTTCTCCTTTCTTTTTCCGCATGCTTTCGTGATGCAATTGGGAGCGTACTCGGCGCGTATTTCGGAGGGGCTGCGAATTTGTCAAGCAATCCCGACGAGGGTGCTGCACGTTTGTCACTTCTCCTGCTTCAGAAAAACCTAATGACTCTACAGCATAAACAAACTAAACTACTAAACAGTCTTGATATAGTTGATTATTTGTGCATAGCAGCGAATTTTTTAAACTTTTTAATTCGTTGGGCTACATATAGCAAACAAATTGATATATTTGGTGTCTTCATTCATGCGTTTAGTATATTTTAGTTGCTATTGATAATCATTTCGTTAGGAGCTCAGAATCAGAATAAAACAAAAGCTAAATAAACTAGAGCTTAGGATAAACTAGAGATTCAAAAAATGTTTTTTAATAAAACCAATGTGTAAAAACATTTTAACAAATATTACATTTAATTATTTATTTCAATTACAAAATATGTGTTTTCATGATTTTAGAATAGAAATTTAATTCCTGACAAGCGCCTATGGGATTGTAAATCCGGTTTCTGTTTTATCAAAATATTGTTCAACTTTTGAATGTTACCATATTTACTCGCGTATTTTCCTCCTAATTCTTTTTCATAATTTTATCGTCCGAAGTTCGAGAGAGGAAAATTAAGAAAATAGTTTAACTTCCAGTGAAGGCGGTTACAATTAAAAACATAAAAAATAACAGTAATCATGGATGAATTGCGAGTAAGTATCACAATATTATTTCTTTAAAAGAAAGGTACGTTCTAATGTGAATATATAGTAATCTAATAAAATATCTTCGTTTCTTCTTTCCTGTAACTTGACTCTCACCTGTGCTTTTTGTTGTCTCTGCTACTCCTTAGGCCTCAAACCATCCAGAAGTAATTACAGAAAGGGAGTGGGCAGCTGACTTAGCGAAATCCTAGACTGAATGTCAGTTCGTGTTTGCTTCGCTGTAACAGAGGTTCTGAACTATTAGAAGGGAAAGCTTCGGCGTGACATTTGCAAGTAGTTTTCGAGAGTTTATTAGTAAAAAGAAAACAATCCCTACGTGACAAATGCATTTTAAAATTTAGGGGAGTTCATTCCCTAAACGCTCTTAAGAAAAGGCAAATTACGTAAATATTTTTAATATTTTCAAATTCTGACGCTAAAAATCTAGGCGAAAAAATAGGGGATGAAATTTGGTATTATATTTACATCAAAAGTTTTCAAAGACTTATTATGTTCGAAACGCTTTGCTGAAATGCTACCTGCATTTACTTTAAATACTTAGTAGATCTGTTATCCGTGTATATTATGTCATATTTATCATTTCTGAATATGCCATCTAATCAAATGACCAGAATTATAGATTTATATGTGTTTCATATAAATAACTAAAAATATTAATTTTGTGCATTGATTTTTACTGAACAATATGAGCTACCGATGAACGTTATCTGTCTGTTTTCTTACTAGATAACTAGCCGCACGTTTTATCAGATATTGCTGATCATATATAAGATAATAAATGATAGCTGCTTTCCTCTTTAAAAATTAATGACACCAAAAGAATCAGAAGGCAAAATTATAGGAAATGCAATGGAGTTAATAACTGAGTTTTTTTTTTTTTCTAGTGACACTGAAGACAAATGGCGGAAAATTCTTTAATTCATAGCAGAGACAAAATACCTATATGATACGCAGTGAAAACTGGTAATTAGAAGTAAAAGAAAATTGTTGTCACATGGAGATTCTAATCACTTAAATATCATTCGAAAAGGAATCATGACGGAGGAAATTCCTGTATCAAAACTCTGAATTAAAAGTACAATTATTTTCCGCTTGATTGCCTCTTAATAATTTCCGATTCTAATTAGATTCTTCGAATCATTCTCCGTTTCGTCTTTCAAAGTAAAATAATAAAAACGAAACGTTGCCAATATAACCCGCTAAGTAATTTTTGAATTTCTGGTTACAGCTTCAAATGAATGGCAATACTTTGACGATTTGTTAAGTGAGTTAACACACTCCAAAATTTTGTTTAATTAAACGAACATTATGTTTAATTTATTGCGTAGTTTTCAGTATTTAAAATGAAATTGTGTCTTGAAGCATAAAGACATAATGAATATCTTTCAGAGCAAATATTCGTATTCAAGAATAATAAAAAGTTTAAGGTAGAAAAATTTAAACACATCACTGCATTCGAGTACATTCTATGACTCGAGCATAAAAAAAAATGGTTTTACAATTTGAGAGAAACACATATTAGAAAATCTCGGAAGAAGAAAATAATTAATCAAACCAATATTCAAAGCGTTTATCAAATGGTTTATATTAATGCTTAAATTATTATTTATTCTGCTTTAAACCTCTATAAGCAGAGCAAATGCACTTAAAACATCTCAATATGGAAGAAGTAGTTATATTACACGAATCAAGGATTCGGTTATCTAAATGGCTAAAATGAATTGAAGTAGATAAATCCAGTAGTTAATTAAATTATGACGAAACTGTAATTATCTAGTATAAGATACAACGCTTTTAGTTAGTCATTTGTTTCTTAGAAAGAGATATTAAAATGCTATTTTTTAAATGAAACAAATGCAAATAATTAAGAATACATAAATCAAAAGAATTCCATTAATTTAATAACCTATTAAATTCTAGTAATGATGTAAGTAGGCGACCTACAGCTTTTAGTAAGCTATTTTTTAAATTGTGGAGCTGAAACTCGTTGGTATTTTAATCATTTCGTTTCAACCGTAATTTTACCGCATTTTTAAATATGAAAGCTATTGATTTTTTTTTTTTTTTATTTATTATTATTATTTTTTTTTTTTATGAAGCTGTTACCATTGAATTATGATAGTAATGAAATTTAAATTTAATGGAATTAAGACTTTAATGGGCATTAAATTAATTAATGGAAACAATTTCATTTATGTACTCTTAATTACTTGCAATAATTAAGAATATTATTTTTAATAATTAAGAATATAATTTGATTTGTTATCGTTGCTTTTTATTTGTAGAATTGGAAAAATTTTAAATTTAATAACTTAATAAATATGAGAAGGATTCCTTCTCATTTATGTATTCTTAATTATTTTTATTCATTTTCGTATTTAAAAATAGCATTTTAGTAGCGCCATCTAGGAAACAAATGGCTAACTAAAAGTCGTACTACAAACGAAACTATGAAAAGATTCCAGATACAATATAAGATTCAAGAAATGAAATCGAAAACCCAGTTTTAGTTTTTTAAATGAGAGAAACGCTATTAAATGCTTTTGCATATAGAAATATCAGTTAAATGTCAGAAATAATCTAGGCATTTTTGTTAATCTATTGAAATTGAAAAGAGTCGTTGGAACATTCCCTTCTAAAAAACTAGCACTTCTAAAAACACTTGGGCACTTCTAGAAAAAAATTTAGTCCAAGCAGTTTGATCTTAATGTTGTAAGAAAATGCATCTTTTTTTGTTGTGTTTAATACAGAGATATAATTAAGAATCGGAGATTTCGGGCAGATCATGTTAAGTACTATAAAGAAATTTTTTTAATTTAAAACTATTATTGCTATAATTTATTATAAAGTGTTATTAATCTTCTGTACAATTCAGAATATTTTTATTTGAAATGAGGTTAAAATATACCGCAACAAAAATTCAAATGCATTATGAATGTGCTCTTTTGGATTTATAGTCCATCTACAATAAATTTTATACTATACAATACAATGTGAAAGATATTCATATCTTTAAATTAAAAATGCAGACATTCTGAAATTGTCAAAAAGCTTAATTTGATAAAGAATTTCTTTTGCAGTAAAAATCAAATTTGTTAAAATACAATGTACTTACGTAGCAACAACACAGACTGCATCTTCTCAGGAAAATGAATTGCACCAAGTAAATTGAAAAATCTGGTGTTCGGTATTTATGAAGGATAGTCAGCCAGGCAAAATTTTACTTAATGACCACAAGTTCTTACTTCAGTGAATATTTTCGAATGCGACGATCTTGTTTACAAGAAAATAGCTGTTTTCTAAAACCGATTTCCGAAGAATAAAATGGTATCTGAGCCATTGTTACAACTTTGATTTCAATAATTCATTTCGAAAGTCTTGTTCTAATGAAAACTTTGGTTGCAACAGCAATCAAAACAACGAGTCTGCAGCTCACGGAAAACATATGCCGGCTATATTTCTTTTATAAAAACAAACACTTTCTTTCATACTACGTTTAACAAAACATTGTGTATATAAAGCCAGCTGGAATTTATGAACTAGAATAAGATACTTAGAAAAGAGTGGATATAGGAGTATCCACGGAAATGAAATTCATACAAGGACAGTTCTGATTGATGTGAAAGGTGAAAGGAAAATATTTAGATGTTTCATCATATTTCAGTATGCCGATAATATATCTGTCTAAAAGTGAAAGTTAAAAACTGAGAGTTGTTTGTATTTCCCACTCCTAAAAAATATATCTAATGAATTATAATAATTTAATGGGAGAAAAAATACTAAAAATGAGATTACTTTCTAAGCTTCAGTAATTTCTAAAATAGTTTATTTCAGTTTTTGTCACTGATAATAGTGATAATCGGAAAATAAGTTAGCACACAGATTTGTAATAGTTATGCATAACTTATTACGAAATTACAAAACTCTTAACCTTTCCAAAATTGATTGGTTGTTTATATACTGGATATTAATACGAATCGTAGCAAATCTTGCCTTCATTGTATCTAAAAAGTATATTGCCGATCAGAATCATCAAATCTATAAATTCGTCATCAACTCATCAGATACATAATAAATTGTCGGTCGATTTTTTAAATATATATTTTGATTACAAATTCGATTAATTAATATTCCTGCGGACATTCATGTAGTATTTGCAGATAAATGTGATATGAGGAACTCTACAAAATTAATGTGAGTAAATTATGAACTCTGGTAAATGAAAGAGATGTAATGCTTTATTTAAAGAATATAATTTTTTTCTTTTGCTGAATTATGCACAAAATAGGTTTAAAAATCCAATCAAATAGCTTGTAATTTCAAAAAAATGAACCCCCATATTCAATGCTTATGGTGGCGATCTTTATGAGTCTTTCTGAAAGGAAAAGGTACTAAGTTTATTCTTAAATAGAAAACAAAAGGGATTTAGACGTTTTAAAATGATTAATAGCATTAGCATAATATGTTATGAAGATCGAACATAAACTTAATATTTTATGTTTACAATAATAATAATAATATACTCAAATAAGATTTAAAATATTTCACCATTTTCAATAAAATCAATGATCTATTCAATCGTCTTTCACGTCTGGATTTCACAACGAAAAAATCCTTTACTTGACCGCTTAGGGATTAATGCACCCGTCATGTGTCCTTGCCAGTATGCTCCTCTTTGGGTTGTGCAATCATAAATTTCTGACGCTACACATTTTCAATGATGTCTACCACTCTCACCTCCCCCTACGGTCGAGAAGCTAAGATATATTATACGCGAGATATATTATATACGAACTGCGTATAATATACCAGAAGATATATTATACGCAGTTCGATTCCTCCTTCGCTGCTTCGTCATGCTGCGCTTTTTCTGATTTGCCTTCAAAAAAAGACCTCTTGGTCCTTGACTTCTCCATACCTTAGATCTCCATTTTGCTGCATCAGGGCCATTTGCTGGGCAACTCTTCACGAGCTGGAAACATCGCGCTTCGTGCGATATGCCAGCAATGGTAGGGTACGAACTGCGCCAAATTTGATCGAAGATCACCGTCCCCCAACTTATCAAATCCTCGAACTGCGCGACGTTCCCTGTCCCCCATTTCTTCCCAAGAAGATTGGGTGCTACAAAAAGTCATTTATCGCCATTAATGGGACATTTTATTGAGACTGCAAGCCTTCATTTTCGTTTATCAATGTTGTAAAAATTGGGCATGCAAAACAAATATTAATTTAAAGTCTGGCGTGTGCTAAAGTAAAAATAATTTCTTTCTACACTCATTTTAAAAGTTTTATGATGCTTAAAGGAATGATGAGCCAGATCTTTTTTATTCTCTGTAAGAATTAAAAACCTTTTCAAGTTGTAGATTTTAGTCGCTGATATATAATATATATATATATATCAGGTTTGAATAATAAAATTGGTAGATTAATGACATACACAAAGCTGATACATAATCAACCTATCAAAATATCGGATTTGTAGCTCACCTTAAATAAGTTTCTTGTCTAGATAAATATTAACAAATCTTCTTAGATAGCAGAATGGTTCTAACTTTCAAATTTACCATTTTAGGTAAACAGTTCTAATTTAATTAAAAGAATTCTTTTTATTAAACTAAAAATTGGACTTCTTAAGTCGTTCTAAATTCACACTAATATTATTGCAATATATTTCCGTATTAAGCTTTCCATTTTTAGTCATTGAAGTTATTTTAAGGTTATTTAACTTTGTTACAAATTCCATATTTTAAATACTAGAAACGTTTAAATATTTATTTGTTTTCCACCTGATGTACTTTGGCATACATTTAATTTCTAATACACATTTAATTAATAACTTAATAATTATGAGCGTCAGCAGAATTTTAATAATTAACAGAAAAAAATTCAAACTCCCTTATATTCATATCCTGGGATTTTCAGTTCCCTTTTGGATTATTGGATTGGATTATTCAATTATGGCAAAGCACACGAGGGCTATCTGCCTAAACGGAGGGATGCCTTCGTGGAGGACTTTCTAAGGGAAACTGGCTCGTATACACGTTACACATGGGGAAAAACCACGAAAACGCCCATGCAGCCAGCCCGTTCGCGGTATTCAAACGTCGGACCGAACTACCAGTGTTCAGCGTCTTTACCGCTCGGCCGCTTTCAGTTACCTTTTAATGCATTTCTTTTTCACATATTGTTGCACTGTACTCCAGTTTCATGTATGTAGAATTTATATACTTTGTATTGTATTTATGCCAATTTATATTTAAATGATAATTTTTACAAATTCTTGCATCACAACTCTAGTTAACAGAAGATGTTAACACCTTGGCAAAGCTTAATCTTCAGCATGTAGCTTAGTTTCTAACCTAGTTTCAGGCTGAATTATTTGTATAAAATTAATTACTTTTAAATTATTTGTTAACAAACAAAGATGGTCGCTAAATCACGCTATAATAATATTTTAATTGTAATTTATAATGCAACGAGTTTCATGTGATTTATAATATAATTCAGTTTATAATTTTTTTCAGCAGTATTGAAATTAATAGCAGATACTGATAATATTATACATTTAGATTACAATGATTTAGATTGCCATTGCCTTCTTCACTGATGCTTTTATGCTGCGTTCCTAATATTTCATAATGGCATAACAGATAAGTTTAACTCATTCACCAAACATGTAAATCTCTAATTCAGCCCACTTTTGTTCTTTCGTGTGCTGTATCTTCTATTTTCTTTAATATATTGTTCAGGCCTAATTTCAAAAGGTCTTATGATCAAGCGTAAAAGTCACTAAACATTGGTAGTTCGACTCGAGTTTCTAGTCCCAGTGATCCCCCTAGATCTTTCTTTTTTTGGGAACTTATTTACTGTGTAAAAATGTATAGCGTAAAAATTTCAGTTCATGAAGTAAAAATACTTTTTTAATTTATTCTTTAAAAGTATCGCAAAAATTTTCACCTTTACCTTCGCATATAGTTTTACGAAATTTCCTCTAATAAGAAAAAATAAGGAAGGAAGTTAACTCGGTTTCAGTGATTGATACCTCGGTGCAAATTATATGTAACCTTTTCCAAAAAGCATAGAAGTTTGTATTTTATATCAATAAATTAAGGATTATTTCTCCATCTAATTTTCTTTTCATGTTTATTCCAGAATTTACCTTTTCCACACTGTAGTGCTTAACTTTATGAGTTTTCTGTAACCATTCAGTTTCTCTAGCCATGGCAACTTTGCATACCTTCTGACAAGTAGTTATATTTTTAACCACTGCATTTTAATTCCTGTTGACTATCAGTACATTATTCACTTGTGAAACAAGTGCAACTTTTATTTTATACGCAAATCTACGTAAAATAGCATTAAAACTTCAGTTATGCTGAGCTCCTCATCGATTGCTTGTTTTAGATTGAGTGAAATTAAACTTAATGTTACTGTTAATTAGCTTGTTATTAATTTAATTATACATTTCTAATTAATTATATGTTCAGATATTTCCAAGTATATTAGTCAAACTTTTGCATCCCAATTTTTAATTTTTGGTTAAAAAATAAACTTTTATTTATTGAGAGGCCTGACTGATTATATTAATTTGCAGTATTGTTTATCTAATTCCTTTCTTCTAGATAAATTTTAGAATAAACTTCTTAGCATAATAATTTAAATTTATTTACAATTTATACGTCAGTGTTCCAAATGCATAGTAATGTTGTTATAATAGATTTCATGCTAAGCTTTTTTTAAATTTAACTAAATTTAATTTCTGCAAACACTCACATGATTACTTTAATACACAAAAAATACTTTTAGCACACTTACACTTTAATATGGAATAATGTTTTGCACGCTAATGCACTCTATTAAATTTTCCAGTCTAGTTCAGACATCTTGACTATTATTGATGTAATTTATTAAAAATATAATTTGTATGCTTTATAATTATTTAATTTATGATATTATTATAATAAATGGAAGATGTTTGTAATGCTAATATGTATGTTTACCAATACCTTTTATTTTCTTTGTTAGCTCTCGCAGTTATTACTGTTATTTAAGTAATTAGCCTGCTTGTTAGATATTTTTTACTTGTTCTTGTGATATGTAATTCTATTTATTTATTTTTATTTTCCTCTTGGCTACAGTTGGCTTCGAAAAGTTAAATTGTAACCCTGTAGGCAGCAGGGGGAAGAAATTTTGATTAGCGCAGTTGGACTATAGCTCGACCAGGGGGGGGGATTTTTATTAGCGCAGTTGGAGTACACCCCCAGCAATAACTATTTGGATCGGATCGAATTCGATTCCCAGACAAACGAGCTGGCTGATTGGGCGCGTTCGTGGTTTCGTCCACCTGAACCAGAATACGTTCCAGTTTCTCACAGAAAGTCTTCCAGGAAGATATCCTTTCCCTTAGGTGGGTAGTTTTCGCGTGTTTTGTCATAATCAC